CGCCCCCCCCACTCCACCCGAGCCTCGGACTGCATTCGGGCGCTGCTGGACAGGACAAGAGGAAGGTAGGCGTCTCTGTAACGTGACTGCAGTACTGCGGGGCCCAGCTGGCCTGGGGATCCGAGCCGAGGGGAGGTGGATGCCTGAGGCAGGAGGACTGGCAGCCGAGGCGCACGTGCGGCTAGGAGCGCCTTGGACAACCTAGTCACTTAGAGCGTGGGTGGGGGTGGGCGACAGCGTGAGTGACAGGACTTAGCTAGGGTCTAGTCCGTGAAGGATGTGTTTGTAAGGCACACGTGCGTGTGCAGATCGCGCCTAGCCCATCCACTCTCTCCCATGTCCAGAGTCCCAGGGTGGGCACCCGGAGCCCCCAGTCGGCGCCCACGCCCTACTGCGCAACTGCGGCGGAGAGGGCCAAAGGGGAAGGTTTTAGAAGATCCATCTGTAATCCAGAATCGTTTTCACTCTGTGTAAAAAGGATTCTTGAGTACTAGAGTTGCTAATACATATGAGCAGAGCATGTCATGGATTGGAGGAGAAGAGCAAGCTCTCACGGGCTTGTCAGCGCCCCCTTGCCATTTCTTGAACTAGAGTTTAGTTACGTTATTTCATTATTTTATTCTGTTATTTCGGGGGGGGGGGTTTGTCTCTTCATGTAGCTTAGGCTGGCCCTAACCTTCTGTTGCTCAGGCTGGCCTTGAACTGAATCCAACTGCCTCAGCCTTCTGAGCACTCAGATTACTGGATGTATTCTTGGATCTCAAGTTTGGCAGCATCTGAAACCTGTGATCAGTTTTATAATAGTAAACTAACCACTAAGCCTATAATAATAAGAGTCAATTGGTAAACAAAACTTTAGACACTATTGAGTCTTTCTCTAAGTGAAACAGTTCAATTCAATTTATTTATGAAGGTGTGTGTGTGTCTTTACATCAGTGACATGTCCTTTGACAAGGCAGTTTATACACACAGGAAATGGATATTGTATTATTAGACGTGGCTTCTGTAAACTGAAGAATTTATTTTTGTATTATCATTTCATGATCAGCTTCTTATATGCACAGGGAGGATTATATTACATTAGGTCAGGATTTACTGGGCATATTTTCTGTGGAAGACGGTATGTATCTAGAGGGGTGAAGAATTAAGTACTAATATAGAAGACAGTGTTTGAAATATTCAGAGGTATGGGTAGGAAAAACGAATTTTTCTTTGCATGTTGAGTTGGTGTGAAAGGAATACAAAATATAAAAGTGTGTTATGAAAATATTGCCTTACCATTAAAGCATTACCATAGCTCTGTAAGTTCATTTTAGTCAATGAAAGTGTCTTGAAACATCTACTTTATTACTAGCACTCCATGGCTTTATTGACTTTAGAATTTTCTTTTCCATAGTAGATATTAACTCTTGAGATGGTATGCTAGTATTTTCTGGGACAATTGTAGAAATTGTTTCTTTGGTGGGAGTGACTAATGATGAGTTCCAACTAGATTCTAATCTGAAGCCAACAGATATGAACTCTTATGCACTAGAAATGGCAGTAACTATGGTGTAAAATGCCTTTCCCAGTAAAAGACTTGTATAACAGACATTGTTAATGTGCAAGTAGGTGTGTGTGTGTGTGTGTGTGTGTGTGTGTGTGTGTGTGTAGATGTGTGGAGGCCAGAGGACAATTGAATATCTTTATTACCATTTGCCTTATTCCTTTGAGACATGACCTCTCATTGAACCTGAAGATTGTTCTTTCAGGTAAACTACCAGAGCCGTAGCCCACCTGTCTCCATTCCCCACACTGGATCATAAGAATTTGTAGCCACACCTTGGTTTTTATTTTTTACATTCCAATCTCAGTTACCGTTACCCCTCTCTCCTTTCCTCCTGCTCTCCTCACTTCTTCCACCCCCAACTCCCATCTGCTCCTCAGAGAGGGTAAGGCCTCCCCTAGGAAGTTTACTAAGTCTGTACCATCATCTCCTTGACACACTTTGTTTTTGTTTTGTTGTTTGTTTGTTTGTTTGTTTGTTTTTTTGTTTTACTTGGGTGCTAGGAATCCAAACTTGGGTCCTCATGCTTGCAGAGCAAGCATTCTCACCTACTGAGCTATCTCCCAGACTCCTATAAAAAAGTAAAACTTTATGCATCGGTGTTTTGCTTGCATGTGTGTCTGTGTAACATGTGTATATAGTACCTGCAGAGGCCAGGAAATAGCACTGGACTCCCTGGGACTAGAGTTACAGGTGGTTGAGAACTGCCATATGGGTGCTGGGGATTAAACCCTGGTCCTCTGGAAGAGCACCCAGTGCTCTTATGTGTTCTTAGCCACTACTGAGCCGTCTCTACAGCTCCTAAAAGAGTTTTTTAACTCCTAAAAAAAAAATCCCAGAAAATTAGTACAGATGATGAAATGATTCAGAACTTAACTCATGTATATTCAAATGAACTCAGAATTCAAATGAACTGTACAAGCAAAAACAATGAATGGCTTTTGACTGGCCGTGTTAGTTTGCATGTCCTCCTTAGTACAATAATGGAATTTACTAGTCGCAGCACTTAGGGAACTTAAAGTATGTTGAGGCTTTAAAAACCAGTGGAGGAATTGAGCTAACACTCATGAGAACTTCCTTCTCCTTTGCTTATTTAAAACTCCAAACCCAGGCTTCCTTTAGTTCAGTCTTCTTGATCAGTTCCACCCCCAAACGTTGTAACCACAGCACAGTCAGAAAGCTTCATGCATCTTCAGTCACAAAATTCCAAATTGTTTTAAATCTGACAAATCCATATTAAAAATCAAGCATTTAAAATTCTAGACAAAACCATCAAGTTCCACCAGTGCCAAATCCGGTTGACTAAGAATGTCCTCCTAGAATAAGTGTGCATGCCAAAGGAGTGAGCCACCAGCTGCCACAGAATGGGCAGAGGCCACAGAACAGTTAAATACATGTGTCCTGCAGCAGGTGACTAGTGGATGTCCATAGGCTTTGCAAAGGAAATTCCAGCTGAAGAAAAAGACAAACAAGGCAATATGAACAGAATTGCCTCTGTTCGCAGGCTGAGCGTGGAGTTCATTCATTATACTTTATTTGTTGAAAGTGTTTACATTTGAAAGTAAGATGTTTAAACAGAACTGGGTTATCTTGTAGTGCACACATCACAAAGCTTATATGTTTTAAACTATAGGATTAAAACCCAGGGTTAAAAAGAAAAAAGTCATCCATCAGCAGTTATATGAGGCTGTGATTATTGAGCTTCTTTTCAAAAAAAAAAAAAAAAAACCCTTGGATGGGTCTCATGAGGAAATTCTAAATGAGCAGAGGCAGCCTATGAAGGAGGACACTCCAAATGGTATAAAGACCTTTTGGAATCTGCCCAGGCTTCCTTCCAAAATAAAAATTTAAACAGCTGTGGCGTAGGGATGGCTGTGCACAGTCCCGAGAGCAACTGTGTGCAAGCTCTTGTCGTCAGTGATGCTGTGTTGATAAACATTCAGTTGACTTCAGAAAAAGTACATGACTTATTAACAGTGTATTTGTTGAGTGAACATTTTGAGAATCCTGACATTCCCCTAGAGCAAACATGATTGAGTTCACAACTCAAGAAATAAGAATTCATCTGGGAAAACCCTGCTGTAGGTTAAATCCTGTTAAAACAAAGCAAACAGAACTAACTAGAAGCCTTACAGTGGCCCTTGTTGATTTTGAACTTTGTTGTGTTTGGCAGCAGGAAATCTTAGCGCTTGTAGAGTTTTTAGTTGAAAACATTTTGTTATTTGGAAGAAAAACCCCTCTCATTTCCCTTTCAGTGTGCACATTCCTCTCAACCTTAACACACCTCTGCAAGCTGTCTAAGCTGCCAGGGATGCCAGCTCCCTTGCGTGAATAAGGATTTTCTGAATACAGTGAAGTAGGGTGAGATTCAGAATAGCCACAGGCTGAGGCTTACTGTCCTTTTGGAAAATAGCGTCTTAAATTTCTGTTCTTCTGCTAGCATATGGGACTAGTGGTATTTCTAAGCCGCTGCTCCACTGTCACAATCTAAGCATTTGCATTTATCACATTGGCTTTATTCCCCTGGCAATTTTTATAAGCAGCAAGTTATGGGTTTGCTTTAGTGTTGTTCCGTTTCTTTAATTTTCATCTTATTGCTTATTAGAAAAATCCATGGGTCGAACACTGCTTAGCTACATAATGTTACTATAGTTATACTAGATGAAAACCTACCTGTCCCCTCCACTTTATCTGTGGGTTAATAAAAAGTTTTCAAGAGTAGAAAAATAGAGGCTGAATGTGGTGGCTTGTGCTTATACGTTCTGCAATAGGGGGGATGAGGCAGGAGGTTTGCAATGAGTTGCCCTACATAGTGACACTTGATCTTAAAAACCAAAAGTAAAAATAAAATAAAACAGAGAGATGGAATAAAAAGAAAACTAAATGATTTATTCTGTAAAAGACTATGCAGGTTATCCTAAGCATTGTATGCTTTGACGATTCACCCAATTCAATATAAAGATGGTTCTCAGAAATGTTACTTATTGTTTGACCTAGGGTGATAAACATCAGCTTTTCTTTCTTAGAGACAGTTGCTAAATGAGGTTCATCATCCCAGGCCCAGAAATCTTGAATCAGAAATTTGCCAAAATCTGAGCCCAGCTTGACAGACCGAGTCTCCTGGGCATTGCTTTCCTGAGCTGCGGCCTCTAAGGCCCCTTTGCCCATGTACACGTGGCACAGTTTTTTTTTTCCCCAACAAGTGCCAGGGGTGTGCATCTACAGCACCTGTTATATTTCTGTCCCTGCCAAGGTAGGCCAGTTGGGACACATCTGCATTAGTGCCCATTCACGCAAATGAGCAAGCAGAGCGACTTTGTGTAAGAGCCTCTTCAGTGCAGCTGGCGAGATGTGTGCCAGCCCTGCACTTTAGACTCCCCTACCTTCATGTTCTGGCCTAGTTCTGATACCATTAGCCTGCTTGGTGTGGCTGCAGGCAGACATTCAGGCAGGAATGCTGCTTCTGAAGTGGCAGCCAGAGCAGTTTCTCTGTATCTGTTCTGTAGACTCAGATGCTGGGTGGTTGGAAGGTGTTTCCAGCATGAACATTTTGAGAAACTACAGAATCTTCAGACTTACAGGCTTGAAGAGTTGATGTCAGATACATAGATCCCTGAAACATAGTTTTAAAACAGTTTTACAAATAGCCTTTTTATTGCCTTGATTTTATTTTAAATATTATTAACACTAGTTATGTCATTATGTTTTTCCTTTTTTAATGAATGCCAAACAATTTCATAAGGAATTTCATTCTATTCCAGGAAATTCGTGGTCACACTCATAACACTCCACCAATGAAACTCTTGGTCTCTAAAGTGCTCCTTGGCCAGGATATAAATGGCGTGTAGAAGTGATTCCTACTGAGCTGTGAGCTGTTTCCAGATGTACAATGTTAGCACCATCCCCACCCAAGGCACCCCATGACTCTTCACTCAAACTGGGTTGAACAAGTAGAAAAATGATTAAATTTGCTGTTTTCTTACTTGTCAGCAGCTTTTTTGAGGCAATTCTACTTTCCTCAATAATACAGTCACACAAGGCTCAAGTCTGCAGGGACGTGACAGAATGTCGAAGACCCTGCGTGGGGTCACCAGACAGGAATTTGATTTGACCTCCATTGGCTCTAGTAGTTTTGACTTTTGACCTTTTGCTTTCTCTTCCATTGCATGGAGATAGATACCTACTTAAAAGTAGGGAAAGAGCAGTATGCCTTTTATAAACACAGGACTCGGCTTGGTGCGAGCTTAAATGGTAGGCGATTAGTTCTTGCTCTCCTCAGGCCGAACTTTGATGTCCTACAGTGGTCTGGCAGAGGATGAGTCTTCAAGGACAATTGTCCCATGCAAAGTAATTTGATGCTCAATAAAAATGTCATGACATGAGGGAGGGGGGTAGTAACACAAAAGTAATGTGAAGAGGAAAAGGAAGTAACTAATGGAGAAGGATGTTTAAATGGAGAGAGGGATGGGACTGCTGGGCAGAGGAGGGAGTTGGGTGAGAGGTGACTATCACTAGGACGTTTGAAAAAGCCATATGGAAGCCTACTATTTTTTAAGCCTTCTACACACACACACACACACACACACACACACACACACACACACTTAATTGGAGTTAGCCTACATAGGGGATAATGTGCTGCTTAGAAGCTGTAGGTTGCCAAATAAAAAGCTCAGTGCCTGATGTAGGGTACCTCCACTGAGCTGTTGGTTGTGGGTGTCCTGGAGACCTTCCAACAAAACTGGCTATTGCCATTGCTCTTAGCTGCCGACCAGAACTTGGTGTAAAGACACAAATGATAAAGATACCATATACTTTAGTCACAGTACATGGAGAAATCAAGTGGATACTGTCCAGGAAACTTCCTTCCTGCTGGCTAGCTTTCATAGTACTGGTAGGCGCTATGGGGATTGCTGAGGCAAAAGTTATCAACCGTCTTACTCAGATGGGAGCCCAGTGAACTCCAGTAAGAACTGATGTGACAAGATATGCCTGTAGGTATAATAGTACCATGGATGTTGTGGGGTAACCAACAATTATCAAATCATATGTCAGGCCTGCTCCACAATATGAAATGCATGCCTAGTATTGTCAATATGGATCCAAACCCATGGCTGGCAAGTTCATGGGCTTCAAAGGTAAAACATATTACTGTTCGTAGTCTAAAGGACATAGTAGCAAATGGCTCTACAAATCCATCTCTATATCTATAGATCAGTACAGCTCTCAGACCTCATTGGAGAAGTTTCTTTGTACAGTAGATGGCAGTTAACACAGAAATAGTTAATTCTCTGGCCATAGTGCAGAGAATAACTATAGAGTTTTCAGACACATTTGGGGACATCTGTATCACATACATTCCCACCAGGCTCAGAGACCATCAAGGAAGACAGAATGGAAAAGTTGAAGAGCCAGAGGTGGGTACTGGGGTGAAAAAATTATCTTCTGGAAATGACAGGACTATGATACTAATGAACTCACAGCAGCTGTGCTAGCCTGTGCAAGACCTGCACAAAATCTGGCCATTCAACATTCTAGCACGGGGAGGGCATCATAGGCCACCACCCCTAACTGAGGAGCTCTTGACAGTTAATGACTTCTTGGAGAGGAAGAGTTGGTTTTCATTAATGGTAGGTCCACAATCCAGTGGATGGCCTCTCACCCATTAGTACACGGGCAGCACAAATTAGATTCAGTAGATTACTTTTATTTTTTAAAAGATACAAGGTTGGGAGAGGTGGAGAGTAGGAGTGGATCTGAGAGGAGTTAGGAGAAGGAGTGAGGTAGAAATATGATCAAAATGCGTTATGTTCATGTATGAAAGTCTTAAAGAATTAAAAAGTATTTTTTTTAAAACACCATAACATGATGGACAGCATTTGCTAATACTTTATAGTAGTTTCCATGTTTCAGAAACACCCTGAATCAGTGACCTCTCCCACTGTGCTGGAGGACTCCCTATCCTGCTGGGATGTTTGGCTTGTTCCTCACAGGCTAAGGGTCTTGCTCTTGTTCACACAGCTGCTTTGTGAGGTTCCCTGTGAACAGTGGGCCATGGAGCTCTGCCTGTCATTGATTGAAATTTATTCTGAACTGGGTTCGGTTGAAGCAGACCTCTAATTCCAACTGTTTGGGAGACTGAGGAGATGAGTTTAAGACCTGCCTGGGGCAATTTAGCACAGCCTTAGCTCAAAATAAATAGAAAGCAAAAACCTCTTAGGAGGGTTGGGGAGATGGGTTAGTGAGTACTCCCACATAAAAAGCCAGGCACAACTGTGATACGATCATACCAAGGCTGGATGGCGGACACAGGAAGATCTCTGGGGCTTGCTGCCCAGCCAGTCTCAAAAAAGAGCCTGCTGGCTGAGCCATCTCAGCAGCACTGGGTCTCTGCACTATGTCCGTGTTCCCCAGCATTTCACAGGGGTCCCCCGAGAACCTTCTGTTGATCGTGATCACACATTTTTCACATCTTAGAACCATGTCAAGCAGTAATCTGTGGTATATACTTCAAGGAATGCAATTCATCTCCTTAGCCCCTCACCTCCCCACCCTCAGTCACTCTGTAGAGGCAGCGGAGTCCATGGATAAGTCTGAGGTGTGTTGGGGAAAGACATGACCAAGAAGGTAAAAGGTTTGAATTCACCCCAAATGGCTAATTATTGAGAGCACTCGCAGCAATGTCTGTCCTGACAGTGTGGCTCTCACAGGAGAAAGTTGAGTGACAAGTCCGGGTCCCAGCACTCGGAGACCTTTGGCCTCAGTCTCAGCTCTGACTCCCTGCACTGTTCTTTCAACTGTTTTGCTTGTGCTCGGGGTCCCTTGTTCCCATTCTCTGCTCTGGTTCTAACTAGTAGATGGCATCACATCCTATCCCCATTAACTATGGAAGATTCCATTTTCAAATACACCAAACTGCTGTTTCCCTTCCTGATGGATGGAGCCACCTGGGGAGGCTTTGCTTAAAATAAAAACAAAACAAAAGAAAAAACCCCATCCCCACAGATCTCCTCTCCTGACCTTTTGAACATCTGAGAAACAAAGCAAACAAGCAAGCAAAAATAGCGTTGTTTCTACATTAAAAAAAAAAATCATTCCTGGTGAAAATCAAGAGGCCGGGTTTATTGAAATGTTAGGTCGTTGCCTCTCATTGTATCCCTTGTTCAAGTGACATTTAGATGTTTTCAAATGAAAGCTTATCGGACACCCAGCCTCACTCTGTGTTGTGCAGTGTTGGGGAGGATTCACTCAAGCCCAACCTCAGATTTAGCATCTGTTCCTGGGAGGAGGCCACGATCCCAGATCTGTGCAGGGTTTGCATTCATAGAGGGCTTCGTGTTGCCCTAGAACTGCCCCACTTGGCCTTTGCATCTGATCTGGTTCTAATTGCATTGTCACCTGGAATGGGTTACTTAGCCATTTCTGATGCTAAGTTTTCCCATCTCTAAATAATGACAGTATTGATGGTTCTCTAGAGCCGTGGTTCTCAACCTGTAGGTCTTGACCTCTTTTAGGGTGGAGCCACACTGAGTGACGCTTTCACAGGGAAAACACAGATATTTACATTACACAGATTCATAACACTAGAAAATTACAGTTATGAAGTAGCAATGAAATAATTTACGGTTGGGGGGTCACCATGACATGAGGAACTGTATTAAAGGGTCACAGCATTAGGAAGGTAGAGAACCACTGCTCTAGAAGTCTCTGGAGTAAGCAAATTAGCATACTAGAGACACACCGGTGCTTAGAAGTGTTGTTTTGTTGCTGTTATTATCCTGTTGCTTCCATCCATGCAGGAAAACCACACACACACACACACACACACACACACACACACACACACAATGAAATAAAATGGTTTTTTTAAAAGATAAGTAACACTCAGTGCCTTGTGTTTACAGAAGTGGTGGTCACATTAAGTAGAGAGTGGTCCCTAAGACTTTGACTATTAACTGTGTCTTCTTTCTTATCTCTGACTTGTACTCTTCAGGAATAAACACATCTGATGAAAGCCATGGCTTTAAAGGTCCTGCTTGAGGGAGGGAGAGTGCCCCTCATCACCACGCTTCTCCTAGGCTATTTGGTAAGTATACTCTCCACTCGTCTTTCTTTCCTATGAATATGGAGAAAGAATTCATATAGTGGTCTCAGGATTATGAGTGTTGTAATCTCAGCACTCTAAGTGAGAAAGAAGATTGCAAGTTCATGACTAGCCTGGACTGTGTAGCAAGATCCTTTCTCAGAACAAACAAACAAAAATAAAACCAAGACTATTTTCTATTAATGAGATCATTGTTTTTTAAAAATCTCTTTCACATTATGCCTGCTCTCTTTTGTATTAGGTAGTGCTGTTGCCACAGGTGTTGAAATTATTTCATGTAAAGCTAGGTAAAGTCATAAATCTTGTTGCCATGTTACTCTTAGTATTATGTTAGGTTAATGGCATTATTTGGGGTTTATAGGCATATTTCTATCATAATACACCCTAGAGCAGTGGTTCTCAGCCTTCCTACTGCTGAGACTCATTAATACAATTCCTTTGTTGTGGTGTCCCCAACCATAAAATTATTTTGTTGCTACTTCATTACTGTAATTTTACTACTGTTATGAATAGTAACATAAATATCTGATATATAGGATATCTGATACGTTTTCCCAGTGAAAAGATTGTTCAACATCCCTCCCACTCCCAACAGGGTCTTGACCTGTAGGTTGAGAATCACTGGCTTTAGAGTCTAAGAAGACCATAAATTCTAAGTTGATTTCCAGGATCTAAACAGTTAATGAAGAAGTCAGAATAGTTGGTTGTTGTTTTGTGGGATTAAATTCAGAACCTTGTGCATGCTAGGCAAATATTGTACCATTAAACTACATCACTAGATAAGATAAACTTTTTGTATCTATCGAGTTCAAAAAATGGAAAAGACAGAGAATTTTTAGTGTTTTTGAAAGTGTGATAAAAGGCCTGTGGAGGTATCCAGTAGACTTGACATCTATATAATCTGGAGATATAATAAGGACCTACAACTATAGAGAGAGTTATTAACTCTAGAGACAGTACCCGAAATCTTGGAAGGTGAGGTCAGTGGAAGTTAAGTCAGCCTGGAGTCTGTATCCTTGAGGAAGTTATGAGGGAAAAAAAAAAAAAACAGCTATGTAGCCTCCTTTCTGACTTACAGTTGTCAAACACCAAGGAAATGGCCTGGGACAGAGGTAGAATTTCTTCCTCAAGATTACATTTATTTGGGGCAAAAGGGAAACTTCTATCTGGAGCTATGGAAGGTAGGAAAAGGGCCTGTTAGACCTCTAGCCCCAGAGGACTTTCTAGTTCTGAGCTGACCGTGGATTCTCCTTCCCACCCTGGATTCTCCTTCCCACTGGTCCCGGAGGTGGAGGCTTTGACTGTTTGAAAGCACAACATGAGAGCTCTTGCTTCCCGAGGGAAGACCCATCTGTGGCGTGCTTAGCCATTCTATGTGTGTGACACACAGATGTAACAGTGGCTGTCCTCACAGGATCTCTAAAGGTTTTCAGCTTTAATTTAGAACAGCAAAATGGGTATCATGAAGTTAACGAGGGTGTCCCTGCTTAGAGTAAAAGGTTGAGCCAATTCCCTTTTTCTGAGACACCATCAACAATGCTGCCCTATTTATTATTTCACAAGTTTTCATCCTTAGAACTTCTAGGTAAATACACTGTAAAAACAAGAAGTTTCTAGCCTTCTTACATCTCAATAGGTAACAGTTGTTTTTGTTATTCTTAGATAGGGTCTCCAGTTGCCTGTGATGGCCTCAGACATGTTACACAGCTGAGAATGGCCTTGAACTGCTCTCCATGCCTGAGTGCTTGGGTCACAAGCACATACTGCCACTCTCATATTACATGGTGCTGGGGATCAAACTTAGGGGTTCATGAATGCTAACCAAGCACTCCACCATTTGAGCCAAGATCTCAGTTTGAGTTAACCTTATAAATGTAATTTTTAAAATTTTTATTTAATTGTTTTTCAATTTTTGAACAGGTTATACATGTTGAAGTCACCCTCCTCTCTGCCCTCCCTCTTCTTACCTCTCTCCCTTCCATTTGTCCCCTTTATTACTCTAAACAATGTCACTTCTATTTTCATTTCTTATACAGACACATGATTTTATGTTACTATGAAAGACAACATTATGTAGCTCAAGTTGGTCTCTAACTCTCTAGCCAAGGATGACCTTGAACTTCTTTTTTTTTTTTTTTAAGATTTATTTATTATGTATACAGTCTTCTGCCTGCATGTCAACCTGCAGGTCAGAAGAGGGCACAAGATCTCATTACAGATGTTTGTAAGCCACCGTGTAGATGCTAGGAATTGAACTCAGGGCCTCTGAAGAGCAGCCAGTGCTCTTAACCTCTGAGCCATCTCTCCAGCCTCGACCTTGAACTTTTGATCCTCCTCCCTACACCTCTCCAATGCTGCCATGACAGGCATTCACCCCACCACATAGGGTTATACTTTGCTGGGGATTGAACCCAGGACTTCATTCATGCTACAAAAGCACTCTGCCAAATCAGCTACATTCCCAGCCCAGTAGTAACTTTTTTACAGAACATTGTCAATAAGTAAGTAAGGGCCAGTGAGATGGCTCAGTAGATAGGAGCACTTGCCACCAAGCCTGATGACTTCAGTTTGATGCCTGGGGCCCATACGGTGGAGGGAGAGAACTGACTCCCACAAATTGTCCTCTGACCTCCACACGAGTGTTGTTGAATGTGCACTACATACACACACAAATAAATATGTATATAAATAAATGTAAAAAAGCAAGTAAGCACATATCTATAGAATGACAGTAATAATGTAAACTTGTTTTTAGTAGATCGATGTTGCTAGATTAATTAAGCTAATGAATGGGGGGTTGCTTATTACCTAGTTTTTTGATCACAGTATGGTTTTTCCATGTAAGGTCTACGCTCTGAGCTAAAGCACACTGTTCAGTCCCAGGAAGGGCTGAATGGTGATCAGTGAGGATGTGAGTTCAGGTTCACACAACACTTTTGTTTGTAAAAGTCCAGAGCTGGCCATTGGTCATCTCTATCACCACCGCTATCCTCAGGAGGTGTGAGCTCATGGTTTTCAGATAGTAGTTTTCAAAGAGGGTCTCCAAGCGAGTGTAGTGCACCTGGAATCTCCATCCAACCAAGGGGCGGTACTTGGGGAGAGGAGGCATGAAGGTAGGGAGTTTGAGGCCAGCCTGGGCTGCATCTTGAGATCCTGTCTCAAATAAACAAAACCAAATAAATGAACAATAACAACAACTTTTTAAAAATTAAGTGCAGGGATATCTAGAGGATAATCACAAGTTCCTGTGGTGGTGTGGCTCTATCTCACCTGTGTATGCATTGTTAGAGTTGATTATGTTCATATTCTTCTAAGATCAATAAAAGGTTGGTTGTTTGGTTGGCTGGTTTTAATTCAGAAGTTTTCAGGTAGCAAAAGTCCTGGGGTCCCTGCAGGCTTACTTTTTCATCATCATCATCATCATCACCATCATCATCGTCATCATCAGAGGAGTAACAGATGGGGGTTATAGTTAAGTCTAGAACAAGGGGCCCTGGTTATGGGATGAGTGGACGTTCTCCAGGCTAAGAAGGATTTGTTACAGATTTACTCGTCCCCTGGATTCATTCAGAAAGCAGTGGTTCTTCTGAAATCAAAAACTTAAGCCAATGCCATGTTGAGGAAGTTTTTACTCTGTCATTCCTTTCTTGGCAAGCAGTCTGAGGAGTGGAGTGAAGATAACATTTTGGCAACCATTTTTCTTTTTCAGTCATGTAAAGTGATTTGTGAAACCGGAGACTGCAGACAACAAGAATTCAAGGATCAGTCTGGAAATTGTGTCCTCTGCAAACAGTGTGGGCCTGGCATGGAGTTGTCCAAGGTACATATCAAGTACATTCTTGTGTTTATGTGTGACAAAACATTCTTTCAAACCAAATTCTTTTAGTTGATTGTTAGCAACACTTTGGGTAACAGGACAGAATTCTTGGCTCATTATGCCACGTTAAGAAGATATTATATAATTCCCCTTTAATACTTCTAATCTACTAAGTGATGATCTGTAGTCCGTAAGGCTAAGATTTCTTTATTCAGATAAACACCAGCCCAAACATAAGCCAGAGCGTGCCCACAGGTCGCAAGCTAGCATGGCCAGAGAGAAGGGGCTATCCACATCTTTGACACCCCCCCCCACCAGGCCCATGAGGGCATGGCCAGGCATACCTGTTGGGGCTACTAGGAGGCGGGGCTACAGTGTCTCCCTACACTAATCCCTGTATCTTTTTGAGGTAAGTAGAGTCTAACAACTAGAATCCTACAAATACCATTGTTGTATATAACTTAGTGTTTCACTAACAGAATATTTTAGAGGTTAATTGTAAAGAACCAATATTCTACCTGAAGATTAAAAGTTAAAACACAAATAACTAAGGGTGAAATAGGGAAAATAGAAATACTACCATTTTCTGGGTCTTCTTTTTCTTAAAATGAACGTTACCATTGCTGGTCAGTCAGTCAGCCATGTTCTGAGTAGGAATGAGATGAGGCAAGCAAGGGAATTGAAGGAAGCAAGCATTATAATCTTACCAGTGTTAGTGCCCATCATTCCTGAGAGTACTTTCCAGTGTGCATTTTAAATCCTACTCATTAAGAAATTCTCCTCACAGTTGTTCATATTCCACAGTTTCTCCTGGCCTCTTCGAAGCTAAATATCCATTTGCTTTATTTTTTGGTCTTTTGAAGATGTTACTAGTTGTGGGGAAATCGGTGCAATGTTTTGTTCTCAATAAACATCAAAGCCTTCCGTTAGGGAAGAGACAATGGATTTTTGTTTTTATTGAAAGTGACTTTTAAAAGGAAAGCCCTCTCCCCTGCAGGGTGCTCTTATGTAAACCTCAATCTTATGGGTCATAGATTGTTGATCAATGATCTACAAGCAGCTGGAAACAAAGAGGTACCTATTCCACAAGTCCCATCCTTACAGGGGCTTCGCTTTCTGGTTGCTGTGTTAAGGAAGTGTTGGCTTTCAGAGTCCTGGCTTTATATCTCGATTGAAATGCCTTCTAACTCTGATAGCTAGTTAATTACTGTATCTCACCAGGAAGGTTTTGGTCCCTCCTGACTGTACCAATGTTTATTTCAGATATAGGTTCTGCCATATTGGGTAGATAGCAGGTTCTCTTGTCTAGGGACAGCACAAAAGTCAAGTGCCCAGGCCCCCGGGAGGAAAAGAGATGAGTCTTCCATCCCCTGAGAGCTTTTGCCTAACACCATGAAAAGATGTGTGTAGCTGCATGGATTCTGAGATGAGTAAACCATTGCTGAAAGTTTATTCTCTTATCTTCATCTCTCGACTGTAGAAAATATGAAATAAATATCTAGAGAATCAGACCAGAAGGTGAAGATTCAATCAGCTGTAAGTTTTTTAAATGAAATGAAAAAAAATCATCGCACAGTCTCTGTTTGCACTGACCAGGATGGTCTCTGCAGCTGAACAAACTCAAGGACCAAAGGGCTCTGAGATCTGTGAGAGAAGTAAGCCCCTGGAAGTCAGGCAGATACAAAGAGTCACAAGACACTGCTCACAACCTCCTGCTGGGCAGGAAGCCGGAACTATCATTGGCAAATTGCCAAAGCCTTGGTATGGAGAAGCCAGAGAATGCAGAGTTCCTGAGCCCTGTGTAGTGTGGCCTCACTCCATTTTACCTCCAGGGGATCAAAGAGATTCTCATGATGCATGTTAAAGAGCATTCCTCTCCTCCAACAAGGTGGGGGATGCTGGTGGCTTCTTGAAAGAGGCCAGAGCAATGTACTCCTGAAAAGACCCACCCTTGGTGGGGGGTGAGGAGGACTGGAGGGAAACTGGAGGAAAATTACCATAGCCTTAAGTGACAGGGGAGACCAGTTCGAGCTCACTCTGGCTGTCCTATCTTAGAAGCAATGGGGAGAGAGGGTGAGGAAGAGGTGAGGGTAAGTGTGTATATATGTATGTATGTATGTATGTATGAGCACCTTGAAGGTCGTTCAGGGGCACAGGCTCACAGACAGACAGACATAATGAAAGAGTCAGGGCCTGCTTCCCAGAACTAAAGGGATATATATATATATATATCCCTTTAGTAGTGTGGGATATATCATATATATATGATAATCCTTTTTACCCAGTTATCAGGTATGATTTGTAACAAAAAAAAACTACAAAGCACAAGAAAAAGCATACTGAAAAGCAAAAATTCAGTTTGAAGAGACAGAACAAGCACAGGAAACATGGCAGAAGAACTGGTATTCTCACAAAGAGAATTTAAAATAGCTGTGACTGGTGTGCTGTAGAATATAAAACGGTATTATTGGAGAAAGATGGGTAGGATGAACGGAAGGATGGAAATCCCTAAAAAGACCTAACTAAATACATAAGTAAATAAATAATGATGGCTGCTTCTACTGGGCCGTTGGCAGACTGGATACCACTAAGGCAAGATCTTGGAGCTTGAAGACTTTTCAGTGGACGCCTAAAACCAAAAACCATAGAAGAAATACTGAAAGAAAAACAACAACAGAATAGAATATCTAAAGATTGTGGGATAAGAACAAAACATATCAACTTGCAGAGTGGGAATGCAAGAAGAAAGGAGCAGCAGAAATACTTTGAAACAATAATGACTCGGAACTTTTCCAAATTAATGTTAGACACTAAATCCTGTAGATATGGAAGTGTTCTCTCTCTCTCTCTCTCTCTCTCTCTCTCTCTCTCTCTCTCTCTCTCTCTCTCTCTCTCTCTCTCTCTCTCTCTCTCTCTCTCTCTCTCTCTCTCTCTCTCTCTCTCTCTCTCTCTCTCTCTCTCTCTCTCTCTCACACACACACACACAAAAAAAAAAAAAACTTGGGCAACCATTTTTAAGCTACAGAAAAACGAAGATGAAAGGGGGAAAGTCCTAAGACAGTGAGATGAAAAAAGCACCTTCTCTGCAAGGGAGCAGAGGTGAGAATGACCTCTGACTCCTCAGAAAGCATGCAAACAAGAGGGAAGCCGAGTGAGCCTTTTAAAATGTTAAGAGAAAAACCCAACAACCCAGAATCCTATGCAGTGTGAAGTTGTCCTTCTATCATGAAGGAGAATGAGGGTACGTGGCCCTGGTGTATGATCCCAGGGCTTGAAAGGCTGAGGCAGTAAGATCCTGAGTTTAAAGCCATCTTGTACTGCATAGTGAGTTCTAGTCTCAAAAAGAAAAGAGGGAAGGAGGGAGGGAGGGAGGAAGGAAGGAAGGAAGGAAGGAAGGAAGGAAGGAAGGAAGGAAGGACAGTGGTGGTGAGTGAGTGGGAGAGAAATGGAGACTGAGTGAAGTGGAAACAGAAAATTCTCCAGTGGGGACTTGGACATCTGTGAGAAACCAGCAGAGTAACAAGCAGACTCTTAGCAAGGTCATAGCTGATGACAAACCACCATCAATCAAACTGGATGTCATTGACATTTAGAGGCATCTTTTTCCTGTGCCAGCAGAATATACCTTCTTCTCAAGCTTTCATGAAAGATTTAGCAACCTGGACCACATGTCAGGTTGTAAAATCCTTCCTAACACATTTAAAAGGACATGTGAAGTGTAAATGTGATCTACCCTTCATCAGACAAAGGACAACAGAAACCAGGGACAGGAAGATAGTTGGACAAGTCCTCAGGTGCTGTGAGATAAAAAAAACAAAACAAACAAACAAAAAAAAACCACCATGCTAGATAACCAACAAGCTAGAAACAGGAGAAATTTACTTTTCCTAAGAAAATGACAATAGACTTATAAAAATTTATGAGATGAAATGAAATAGTACTTAGAAAAAGTGTATGAAATAATGCATTTATTAGAAAAGATCTAAACCACCTAACTAAACTTCTGTATTAGCAAACTAAAGAACAAATTAAATCCAAACTGAGAAGAAAATAGGTAATAACGGAGGGAGGGAGAGGTGGGGAGAGGGTGAAAGGGAGGAAGAGAGAGAGGATGAGAGGGAGAGAAGTGGATGGAAACAGGAAATCAAAAGGGAAATTAACAAAAAGATCTGTTGTTCAGAAAGATTTTTAAAAAAGGATAATTCTCTAGCCAGGCTGAGTGAGGAACTAGGGAAATAAGACTACATACTACAAATATCATAGGTGAAGGAGAGTGTCACTGCAGATCATGGGCTGAAAATTTTGGATCTGTAATCTTTCAGATAAAATGTACCAAGTCTGTAAAAGACAATCTACCAAAACATTAGAGAGAAAATGTTCCCTGAAGACCTTTACCCACCGAGGAGATCCACTCTGTCACTGTTAGTAAAATGCCAAGCAGAAAGCCAGAAGGAGTTCACCAGTTAAGAGGAGGGTTCCCCAGTCTCTCCTGTCATACAAAAGCAGAGAACACAAACTCATGTAGCGAGTGTTAGGCTAACAGCACCTACTATCAACATCAGACAACAATAATACAAAAAGAGAGAGAAAGCTACAGAACAATAACTCTCATGAACATAGGCATGAAAGTCTTCAACGAAAAATCAACAAGTTCATGCCAAGAATATTCCACTGTATTCTGATGATCGCTCCCAGGCAGTGTAATATCACGACTGTGTGGGATTTGTTCCTGTCATGCAAGCCTGGTTGACCATTTGAAATTCAGTAAGTGTAACCCATCACATCAACACACCAAAGAAGAAAAATCATGTGCCATATCAGTAACCATTTGAAAGCCATTCAATACCCATTCAAAATGAAAACTCCCAGTAAAGAAGGAATGGAGGGGAGATTTACTTAACCTGATAAAGAATACCCTGCTGGAACAACTATAATTAGTAATTATTCAGAGGAATTAAAAACTTGTATTTATACAAAATCTGTACAGGGTTGACTATGGAAGC